AGTTCGCACCCTCCGTTCCACTTCAGCAGCCCAGGGTTGGTGAGTTCGGATCCCAGCCACGGACCTCATCAAGCCATGCTGTGGTGGAACCCCACATACAAAATAGAGGATGATTGGCAAAGATGTCAGGTCAGGGACAGTCTTCCTCACCAAAAATAAAAAATAAAAATAAGTTTTGGAAACATTGAATGTGGCCAAAGATCCCTTGCTTCACTATTCATTCTGAACATTAGCACGTATGTGGAGACGGGTAAGGGGGCTTGTGGAGGATCCCACAAAGGGCTTGGACTTAATTCAGCAATTTCACCATCAAAACTGAGGAAGAACAAAGTCCCTGAAAAAGTCCCCAGTGGCCAAAGCTAGAACAATTTTGGCAACAAAATAGATAACGTAATATTGGCTTATAACCCAAAGTGTAAAATAAACACGTATGACTCCATATTGGTGTAACCAATCTTCCTTGTGGAAGAATTCCACATCGTACAGGTAGAATTCCCCTCTCCAGGAAGTCGAGCTTAAAATCCTCTGCCCTTAAGTGTGAGTGGACTGAATGACTTGCTTTCAGAAAGCGAAAGTATGGAAAAGGAAAAATCCCTGCACTGCAGTGGCGAAGTCTCATGGATGCCACCTCAACCAAGTGATCAAGGTTAAGATCTCCCGTGACGAGTTGCATTGATATCCCCCAGATATGTGATGAGAAGACTCTCTGTCTTCTAATCATGAAAAAACGTCAGACAAACCCAAATTCAAGGGCACTGCAAAATCCCTGACAAGTACTCTCCAAGTCTACGGAGATCCTGAAAAATAAGGAAATACTGAGAGACTGTCACAGAGAAGACTAGGAGACAGGGTGACTAAATGCAATTTTGTGTCCTGGAACAGAAAACGGTTTTGGTGGAAAAACTGGTGAAATCCGATAAAGCCTGGAGATGAATTGATAGTAATGCACAACGTTAATTTCTTAGTTTTGACAAATGCGCCCCAGTTATATAAGATGTTAACATTAGGAGAAACTGGGGGAAGGGCATACGAGAGCTCTCAGTACTGTCTTTGCAACTCTTCTGTTAATATAAAATTATTCCAAAATTAAAAGTTTATAAGATTTCCAAGTCCAGAAAAGATGGTGTGAATTCATTTCTCCCTGCTACTCCTGCAAAGTGCAACAAAACCCTGGACTCTAAATGGCGAGAGGATTGGCCAGGCACCTCAGAGCACATGGTGGTAAGTTCTCTGGCTCTTCCTTTTATGTCCCATAAATCCCGGACTGGATGATGGGGGAGACTGAGACCCAAGACTGCCCACAGGAGCAGACAACAAAAGTTCCAACAAAATCCTGCTCTTTCTGGCCAAAACACCAGGAAAGGGACAGCCCACTATGGCAGAAAACTTTTTGGCGACACCCCCCTACTCCAACTCAATGCTATGGATGCCCCCTCCTTGTCCCACCCTGCGGTGGTGTCAGCAGAGCCTGAGTGGGGAGTGTGAGCACCCAGCCCCAACCCCCAAACCTTTCAGCCCCCGAGGACTCAGAGAGGTGCCCCCTTTCCCCACTGTTTTAGTGTCAACGAAGACAAAGGGGGGACTCTGGGCTTCCTCCCCCATGGCAGCTGGTGTCCCTCATGCTCCCAACTCAGAGGGAGGGGAGAGTCTCAGACAAAGAATGGGATTCTTCCATCCTGCATAGGAAGTCCTACGGAAGTCCCGGGCAGACACCTGACCACTGAACTGTGCAACTGACGCAAACGAACACACTAGGAGGTTCGAGAACTGGACTGCAGTGTGGAAAACTAGGAGAGTTTTCAGCGTGGACTCTGAGCAGCGTACAAATGAAGTAGAACAGACTAGCACTGCAAGGACTCCAATCCCAACTGTCATCGGAACCACAGCCCACAGATGTAGCCCAGGACCTGTGCACTAAATCCAGACTGAGTGACTGCTGGTAAAATAGAAGAGTCACATGGGATCCAGATCACCTAATATACTACCCAGATGCGCAGGGTACGGTAGAGAATCACTCATCATACTAAGGTGGTCTCTGGAATGATGTTCTCAGGGTTGTGCACCGCACAGTCTTGCATGGTGACACGAGTAGCCTTGAGAAAGGGCATCTACACGTCAGTGATTCTAAAGCTTCCAATGTTTCTGAAAAGAGTGACTTTGGGTACTTGCTTTGGGCAGGTGAGGACCAGAGAGCCTCATTGGCTTCCTCCAGGAAAGCACTTGAGGGGTGTCAGGGGTGAGGACTGGGGGGGAGGAAGGAGAGTCGGGAGGTGAAAGGAGAGGGAGTCTCGGATCCACTCTCCTGCTGTTTGGCTGGAGTGCACACATCTTCACTTCCCAATAATATTGAAACAGGGTCCTTTCCTTGGGTTCATCGCACAGTGACCATTTACCATTGAAAATGCTCTTGACTTGTGTTCATGGCCAAGAGCAATAAACAGACACTTATCATTACCTGGATGTCTTCTGAATTGGAGGAAGGATGGATGATTAGTTATTCCTAAAGAACTAAATTCATAGAGTTCCATATTGCGGCTTTAAATTTCACGACAGAGTGAAGCCTCACCCCTTCATCTCTTATCTAAACCTTCCGCTCTTGCTTCTTTGACTCACAACATCGATTCTGTACACTTATCTGCCTAAGCTTTGAGCAAGAAAGGGGCCATTTGAGAGACAAAATCTTATCTGCTTTTCTTTTAGAATTAGCAAACTAGTCAAACCCTTTTACATCATCAGGAAGCAGAATAGCTTTGCCACATGACCTCAATTAACCCCCACGGAACAGTTTCCATTCGGCTATGCAAACAGAGGTGCGATACGAACAACGTGGAAATGGAATACACCTTTCGGTTTAGATTACCTAAGATTGGGTAACGCCCTTTATAGTTTACACAGTACTTTCTCATATAGCAGCATCCTGTTGAACATCTATCCATGTTGTACCCCTTGGACTTGATTCATTATCACACCACTCATAACAAACGGGTTTCCCATCCTCAGACAAGGGTTGTGTGAAGTCCTTGGGTTTAATGTCAGGAGTGCTCTCCAAACGTATTTGCGTGGTAACTTTTGTTTAAAAATACCAATCATGCACCAAAGCATTTCACTTTTGATTGGCTTTTAGGAAACTTGTAGCTAAATTTAATATTAACTTGGAATAATGAGCTCATATCAGGATGTTTGAAGGAAAATTACTCCTTCTGCATCTTTAAGATGGTCTCTGATCTTAATTGTACCACTTTTCATTGTGTTCAGTCATGCAGGGTCTTCTAGGCATGTTAGGCATTTTGGATTTCATCCAAAGGCCGGTAGGAAGCCGTGAAAGGGTTTTGGCGGGCAGACAACCTGATTGAATAAGAATTTAACCGGATCATTCTGGCTGTCATCTGTGGAGTGGAGTTGAGTGGGGAAAAAATGGGAGATGAGAGACCAAGCAGAGACTGCCGCAGAGGCCGGGAGCAGGGCGGCTGCAGAGGAGATGACAAAACTGGACAGACTCAAGATGATTTGGGAAGCGGAACTGATAGCACTTAGTGACTGCGTGGCCGTGGAGATGCGTCTGGGGAGCCTGGCTCGTGGATGGCCCGTCAGTAAGGAGGGAATGGAACGCAAGAGGAAGTTTGGGGAGAGGAGGGGAGGAACAATCACAGGTGCTCTACTTCAGGTCAATGTACTAGATTTCTCTGTGACGCTGCAGGGAGACGAAGGCAGGGGATCAGAATGGGAAGGGAGCTTGCATTTCTGGGGGAGACTCAGGGCCATGTGCGTAGACTAGCACTCCTGGTCAGGGTGCTCTGGTTACCTGATAGGGTTTCCTTTCTGCTCATTTGTGGCTGGGGATTCTCCCACTTGTCACCCAGAAAGAAGACCCCTGGCGGTGGTGTTGGGGGGCGGGGACAGATGCTGCCCTCTGAGGTCCATCTTGGTTATCACTTGCTGCTCCCTTCCTTTTTCCTTTCCGTGTGAGAAGATAAGGGGGCCCACTAGCTCAGTCTCTTGAACATTGCCTCCTCTGGCTTATCTCATTTCCTCAGCCTAGGACCGTCCCCTGGGGCTTTCTCCTCCTCTACTCGTGTAGTAGAAAGTGGTATTTTGGTTGGCGTTCTGGAGCGCCCGCCATGTTGCTCTGATATCGGGATGGCTGCTTCTCTTTTCTCTGTGATGGCGCTGCTCTTGCCAGCTTCCTTCTGTGGGACATTCCAGTCTGTCTCTCGCCCGGTGGAAGTCTCAGGCTGCAAAAGAGGTGTGAGGAACAGAGCACTGGGCAGGCATGACCTGTCGCGTCATGTTTGGTCCTAGGGCAGTGCGATTGTCTTTCATTACACAGACACCTCTGAGTTACAATTAGGCAAGAGAGTCGAAGGCTGTTCCTGACACGAGCATCTCACAGATACAGACACATGGCACTCACCCAACAGCATTAGTTGGATAAACATCTGTTTCTATAAGATTCTGTCTTCAGTTTCACTTAGAGAGCTTTTCTAACCTAATTATGTGTGTCAACTCCGTGGTTGTAATCAGCGCTCTCAGGTTAACCTTCATAACAGTCAACTTTGGACGGCTTTATGGGTTGTCTTAGGGAGTCCTTGGGTTACTCTAGACATGACTGATTACCGCATGATGTAACTGAACTGTGCAGCCTGCTGACCCTTAATATGCTCATTAATGGTGGTTGAGTCTTGGCACCACTTTGCCATTTTGGCTCTTGTGCTGCCTTCGCACATTAAAGTACGGATAATAGCGGACATGTCTAGCAAATCACAGAATGACTTGAACTGGTTCCAAGTTATGAGTACTCGGTGAGTTTGCTTAAGTGGGAGTCCAGCAATTAGCTATGAAGGCACACTCATCTCCCATTGCCCGCCACTCCCATCGTCCTACCCCAGCCCTGGGTTAAGTGATGGTATTGCAAATGAACCCAGTTTGGTGGGCCATCAAGATAAAATCATGCATGTTGTCTTCTTGGAAATCCCGAAGAATGAATAGCCTTTTTTTCTTCTTTTTTTTTCACTCTTCCCAGCTGTTTCTCATCTGGAATAAACATAAAGATGCAACATGAGTGAGAAGGGGTGACTTGGATGTTTATATTAAGTTATTTGATGTGTTATATTCAAGGTCTTTTCCTAGCTGTCCCAGGTTATTATTGAGTTTCTTTTATGTTTATGAAGCCATTTCTCTTCCTGATGGTTAGTCCTGGGGTTCCCGTTTGCTCAGCTTCTCTCTGTGCCCTGGGTGATTGTAGCAGAGTAGACATTGCAAATCTGCAGTCCTCATTTCGTCAAAAGTGGTCATTTATTTTTAAATAAGGAAGCAGGGACCCTAATGTTTCAAGTCAAGCTATGGAGCTACTTTATTTTTGTTTTTCCTTTCACTCAAGATAAATCTAAAATCATAAAATCGTTTCATGAACGTCGGTAGAGTCAGTTGTTTTCGGAGACACTATCAATATTCAACCATCATAAAAAATTCATGGATAAAAGCAATCCTGATATATAATAAAGATTAGCTTAATTTTATGAGGCAGGCTACTCTCTAGTTGAGGAGAGTTGAAGAAAAATAAATCACCTTTCTCTCTTCTGGGAGATAAAAATCTGGTTATGTTTGATGTTGGGTACAGTGTGTATTCTTTAGAGCTTGAAGTTGAGAGCATAAAGTTCCCTGCACCATTTTGCAGTTACCCTGTCTCTTACAAAAAAAGGAAACTCAAATTTACTCAAACTCCCCTTTGCCTTTTCCAGAGCCAGATTGTCTGGTTCTCTTGCCAAAAAGGTTTTTAACCCTTCGGCATTTATGAGACAGGAGTAAATAAGGTCCATCAGAGCTCTAAGAGAGGGAGTGTTGCCTAGGAGACAGGGCCACAGACTCTGCGGGATGCCCGAGGTGCAAGCAAGGATGCACTTGCTTGAGAGAGCTGAATGTAAAATTGCAGGTATTGAGAGAGCTGGTTGACTCCACATTGACAGCTTGACATTGGCCATGGTGGGAGTATTTACACCAAGGAAAGTGGCAAGTGCCACAATCAGGGCTCCCGCACCCCGACCACCCAAGAGATTGTTAACATCTACCAGCACACCACCGCCTAGCCCAGAATGGACCACAACCTGGGTGCAGAGTCCTTCTAGTGAGTCAGGCTGCAAAATGGGTCATTTCTGGGGAAATGCTTTGGAGAACACACTAAGCTCTGGGCTGGGGGTAGGTCAGGGACTGTGGGAGGCTGGGTAGCTTTTTAAACTGGGATGCTCTCATGTACATCCTGGTTCTGCTGAGTTCTGAGGCCAGAAGGCTTCTCTGCTCTGGGTCCCTTTCCTGTGCTCAGTTATCAAGCATTTAAAACAGAGACAGACGAGCTCCTGGGATGACAGGAAGTTCTGAGGAGCAGTAGCTGGTGAAGCTGGTTCACCTATGGTCTCGATGCCCAAACTCGTCGGCTTGCACAGAGAAGGTCCACGTAGAAAAGTTTCAGGAATAAAAACAGTGCAGGAACTTGTTTAAAAGTCCCTCATTTTAATCCTAGCCACTGATCTTACCCATAGTAAAGAAAATCAAGCTCAAAAGATGTTTTTGAGAGGCCTCTGGCAGGCAATGAGGGAAGAGAATTATCTCCTTGGCTTTACATCTAACGTTCTGGGCTCTGAGAATGAAATTTCACCATGCGCTGGACGTGGATGGCATAGCATCTCTTCCTGCGGATTTCTGAGTTAATTGCAAACCAGAATCAGATGCTCTGAGATCTCAGGTCAGGCTTTCCCCTCCATCCTTATACCAACCCACCAATCCGGCCATACTACAGCCAGCAATGAGGCATCTGGAGAATGGCTCTCAATTTTTTAAAAACTTATTTTATTTTCACCAGCCAGCTATTTATTTGAAGACCTCTAAGCAATTTCATTTCATTTGAATGTTGGCTCTTTCGTTTCCTCCTCTTCCCGCCAGCTGAAATCAGAGGAAACCACCAATTGCGGGAAAAGGACATTTTGTGAAGTTCATTTATTAAGAAGGGACATTTTGTGAAGTTCATTTATTAAGCTGTATGCTATGAACGCTCTTGGCCAGAAAGGGAAATCCCGAAGGAACGAGTTTTTAGTCATCTTCCCCTCTGCTCAGTTCACCCCCTCCCCCTACTCCTTTCATTCCAAGAGGGACCAGGAATTTTTGCAATTTCCTCCTCCTCCTCATAATCCTTTAAGGATTGCCTTGATTACCCATGGAGGACTTTCAAAATACCAAGTTTTTGTTTTGTTTCTTTACTTCTTTTAGTTAAATTAGCCTTATGCTCTTAGTGGCTTCACCATCTGAATTAAGCAGGCGATTTGGGAAAAGGTCGGAAATTCATGGAGTCAATAAGTTTACAACCTTACAGTTGGAGCGCCTTTCATCAAACATTCCTCCCCACTGGTTCTCGACCAGCATGACTTTGCCATCCAGGGGACATTAGCCACATCTGGAGACATTTTTGCTTGTCACTACTGGGAGGAGAATGCTAGTGGCATCTAGTGGGTAGAGGCCAAGAAGGATGCTCAAAATCCTACAATGCGCGGGGCGGGCCCCATAGAGCAAACAGTAACTGGCTCCAAAGGTCATTGGTGCTGAAGCTGAGGCACTCCAGTCTACCCAATGCATGAGTCCCTTCCGGCCTCTCTTTGGCAGCTGTGGGGATGCAGCAGCTCGAGATACTGTGCCCAGAAGAAGCATCCCCCAGCCGGGACCCACCCACAGCAAAATGAGCAGGTGACCAGCTGTGAGAGCAAAGGGCCAGAAGACCCAAGAGAGTTCATCAGGGCTCAGGGACACCGCAGGTGCCTGGTGGCTGCCTTCTGCGCTTGCAAGGGCATCAATAGCTTTATTAAAAGAGATTGCACTTCGTCTGTGTGAGTCCAACGGGCAGGTTTGGGAAAGTCAGGCAGACGCCAGGGTGAGGTCAGACTTGGCTCAGGGGATGACTTACTCCATGTCACCTAAGGAAGTTTCTGGAGCTCCTGCTGTTGCTTCTCGCTAAGTTCACAGTTAGGAAAATCCTGAGGTTTCCTTCGCGGGCTTTATTGACTCGTGTCTCCAGCTGCCTGCTCCATCCTGTTCTCATGCAGCTGATTTTTTGGCCCAAGTGAAGTTCACGCTGGGCTGGAGGGGGAGAGAAGCGGGGACGGCAAGGGATGAAATTCTAGGAGCAGGCCTGCGAGACACGTCAAGTCCACGAGCGCAGCCTCCTTGGCTCTCCTCCCGCTGGAACGGCCTCGGGGTCCTGTCAGTGGGACAGGCTATTGCGGCCAGAACTATGAATCTCGCCTGAAAGGGAAAGAGAAAAGGCAAACCATTAATTTCAACTTTAGGACGCAAGTGCGGAATGAGTGTGTGCGGATGGCTTATAGGATATCACGCTCTCTCACAGAAACTCTGGATTGCCCTGCAATAAAAACACGGAGCATCCTGCGCTGGGCTGAGAAGGGGTGTGAGCGTCTCCCGGGGGCGTCTTTGAAAGGCTGCCCAAACCACAGCCCTAATCGCCGAGGCACGTGGCTCACATTGTAGCGAGCCGCCTTGGCCTCCGCGCTCTCCCAGAATGGAAACTCGGGAATAGTTCCCTTTGGAGAATGATGCTTCTTTCCTTTCACCTCCTACCCACCCCGCTTGACAGCAAACGCCCTGTTCGGGCAGATGTTGCATCATCCGGTGGGGTGTCTGTTTGCACAGCAGCCTCCAGCAGCTCCTATGAGGCAGGACTCTTTTCTTGAGGGTGGGACTCCGGAATTTTGGCACGATGGCGATTGTTGCTGTAATAATAATGTTCTACATGAGTAATGCTGCTTTCATCCACATGGGTTCTTAGGCGTACTACAAGCTTTATTAAGTAATTAGAACAAGTCGTAACAGTTTAATTTGTCTACGATCGAGCGTAGTTTCTGAGTGACTCATGGGGGCTTTCTGACCACACGCAGTAATGGGATATTGATCGTGGATGGGGCAGAACCAGGGTTTCAGCCGAGCTTCAAGAAGCCGGGTCTTGGTCTGAGCTGGAAAAACACTAAGGCCAATGGCTTCTCATCGTGCTTGGGGTGAGTTGGTGATGACCAAGATGAACTTGCCGATGGAGAAGAGGCTGCTAAAACTTTTTACCTGTCCATGGGTTATTTTGTAAAAAACTGACTACAAAATCATGTGGAATCCCAATTTCAAGATGAAAAATAACCCACAGGATTGACTATGAGTCTGGAAGGCAGAAACTCAAGGTGTGCTAGAGTCAGAGGGGGCCTCCAGGATCTCTGTGTGGACCCTTCAGCCAGTGCCTTGAGAATCTCTTGAAGGGCTGTCTGCTGTGGGAGCTGAAGGGTCACCTGGAGGCTGTGACCCTGGTTTCTGTCACCTGCTTCTGACTGGTTTCACATATTGGACTTCTATACGGGATTTCAGCTGGAGGAAATGTTCCACTGCTAAGGGAAGGAAAAGTAAACTTTTTAAACCTGATTTGGCCAGTCTTGATATTACGGGTGATGATCAGAGAGGTTGTGTGAGTGGTTTGAGGTCACACAGCTAATAACCAGCCAAGCTGAAGCAAGATGGATGGAGCTTTCTGGGCGGCCAGCCCAAGGGGTCACAGTGCCGATTTCAGAAGAAAGGACAACTCCTTCGGGGTCAAAGGACTGGCCTTGGACAGTGTTCTAAGGAAGAGCCGCTTTTCTCCGTCTTTACACTAAAAGATGGGGGAGGGAGTGGTTTGAGCCTCAGCAAGATCAGAGGAGGATGAGAAAGCCAAGGGCCGAAAGACAGGAGTGCAGACTTGAACTGCCCTGATGTGGCCTCTGTGGAAATCCAGCCGCAACCCCATGACCACATGGGCCCCGTGTCCTCAGCACAGCTTGTGACAGGTGGCATGGGAGGCACACACTTGCCTGAGCTCTTCATCCTCAATATACCCCTGCGAGGTGGCCATTCTCATCTCCACTTTGCTGCTGAGTAAGGGGAGTTTTAAAGAAGTTGAGTGATTTACCCCAAGACACACAGCCTCGAAAGCTGTCTTCATTCCACTTGCCTATGGATCCGCCACGGGAGGGAGTACCGGCCAGGATGGCTGCCAGGCTCCCACCACCTGGCTGCTTCTTTACCGGCTCTGCTCTCCTTTAGGGCAGGCTTTGGCCCATTTCTCCTCCTCCTCCTAGCACCTGTCACAGCACCTCACAGGTGGTGAGCACTCAATGATGGGGCCTCTGAACTGAATTGATTGCATCCTAGTTGCCCTTGGGGACTGACCTCATTTGATGGGGAGCACAGTTGCGCTGGCTTAGTGTAGCCTCCGATTGCACTTGCGCAGGGGGGTCTTGACGAGAATGAACATTCCTGCAGGCGGGGCTTCTGCGTCATCTCATCGCTCCCTGGGAATATGCCTGTGGTGGGCAGGATAATGGTCCCCCCAAAGATGTCCCTGCCCCTATCCCCAGGACCTGTGAATATGTTAGGTTACTCGGCAAAGGGGATTTAAGGTTGCCGATGGAAGTAAGGTTGCTAATTAATTGACATTAAGATAGAGCACCTTGAATTATCTGGGTGGCCCCAGTGTAATCTCAAGGGTTTCTATAGTGGAGGAAGGAGGTAGAAGAGTCAGCCAGAGTCAGCCAAGGAGACACGAGGATGGAAGCAGAGGCCGGTGATGCAGCTGCTGGCTTGAAGATGGAAGGGGCCCTGGGCAAAGGAAGGTGGGCGGCCTCCAGACGCTGGAAAAGGCAAGGGAACGCGTTCTCCCCAGAGCCTGGAAAGGAAGGCAGCCCCACTGACACCTTGACTTCAGCCCAGTGGGACCCACGTCAGACTTCCAGCCTCCAGAACAGTAAGATAAGGAGTCTGTATTGCTTTAAGCCACTTTGTGGCCGTTGGTTACAGCAGGAATAGGAATCTAAGACGATGCCCAGCAGCATCGTGGTGATGAGGCTGCTGACACTTCTGCATGTTTTTGGAGAGTTGCTGAGGCGAGAGTGGCTCCTACTGTCTTTGATGGGTGAGCTTTGCCAGGTGCCCACCTGCACGCAGGGGTCTTCTCCTTTAAGGGGCCCCGGGAATGAGGACTAGGCCAGTGCTGCTTGCTGCCACTGCTGACCCCAAGGACGGGCTGAGATGGAGAGAGAAGCTGGTTCACCAGAGCAGCCACACAGCAGGAAGGACCCCAGCAGTTTGCTAAGCTGGGCGGGGTCACCTGTGTGTTTCAAGTAATCTCCCAACAGACTCGAGGTATATTTTTATAAGTGAATGGCCAATAAGAAGCTGAGCTAGTGTTAGTCCAGGAGCCTGACTCAAAGGCCCGGTATGTTTCACCATGTCAATATTCATTCATTCAATCGTTCATTGAACGAGTATCACTGGCTCCCACGGTGAGCCGGCCGTGATACTAGGAGCTGGGGGCCGGGATTCAGATGCACAGCTGCATTCCAACATCTTCATAACACATGCCCTGCATCCAGGGCCGCAACCTTAGATGTCTCGGGGGCAGGCAGGTAACAGGAAGGAGTGGATGGGTAGGAGAGGACAGGGATGTGGACAAGGATGACACGGGCACCTGCCCCTGGGCTCCATCTGACTGTCGCCATGCAAGCGTGCAGGCCCATTGTTCTTTGATTGCTTGGATTTTCAGAGGAAGCCAGACATCTGGAAGTTTTTAAAATGGGAAATATTCTATAAAGATTTAAAATTGAAATGAATGAAAAAATATTGGCAACGAATTCAATTTTCAAAGATAACGGAGACAAACAGAACACCTTTGGGGGCTGGATTCAACACGTCGGCCACTGGTTCTGAGACTCTGGGCTGGTCAGAGCTGGTTTTGCTGGAGCAAATGTAACTGGGAAGGAAGGAGTGAGGGTCAGTGGGACAACATGAGGCCCCTCTGCACGTGGCCTTGATGGGATTTGCAGACGGCTTTCTGTAGCTACTATTTAAGGGTTAAGCATCGTTTCATACAGACAGTACTTTGTGGCCGAGAGTAGAGCTTCAACAAGGAATTTCTACGTTTACCGATAGAATCGTGTTGCTGTTCTCAGTCGAAAGAAAAAAATAATGGTTCAAGAAGAAGGAAATCTTCTGTGGTTCTTCATTTAACTCCTTCTCCTTTGGAAACCAAAGATGAATCATTTTCTCTTAAGTTGAAGTTAGAGTTGGAGTTTCGAGTGACCTGCGGGTCACAGCGCACAGTCTTGAGGAAATTTGCACACCCCAGGACTCAGGCAGTGGGGTTTTCTACTCCGGTTAAGCCAGCCACACAGGTCGACTGCTTAAACTCCCCGTGTTCTCGGCAGAACCCAATGCTGCCCACCTGGAGGAAGTGCCGCTGCCGTTCAGACGGAGCCAGCAGCTGGAGGGGATGTGTGGGCTTGGGTACACCCTCTCCATCTAAAGGAAGTGTGGGGAGAAGCTGTGGGCATCCGTATGTAGGGTCCCTGGCCTCTTGCAGAGTCTAGCAGGGTTGCTCTTCTGATGCCCATAGAGTGGGATGGGACCAGGTAGTCAGTCCTGAGCTGGCAGCAGAAGTGCATCATTTCTGAGTGGAGCACTCACTTGCCAGGGCAAGACCCACCAGAGCTCTCTTTTCCCTGAGCCCTGTTTGGGATGGAGCTGCTCCATTAGCCTGGTTCTCTGGGTCACTGAGAATCCCCCAGCTGTCCTTCAGTGGCCTGGGTATGAGTGAGAAATAACCCTTTGTTGTTCAGGCACAGAGACCTGGGGTCAGTTTATTACGCAGCATAGCCTAGTCTATTCTGACAGATACATGGACCAGCTCTGCCATTCACTGTGCCTAACTCTCATTGGTCAGTGATCCATGAGGTGACAGCCAACATCTCACCATTTCCTGGAGCTCCTGCCCGCTGAGCCACCCAAGTGGCCTCTTAATAACCAAATCTCAAGAAGTTGACTCTTTGACCAGGTTCCCCACTGCTTTTCTGGGGGACCCTGGGGACCCATGTTCTGAGACCCTGCTGGTGGTCATTTGCACAGCAGCGGGCAGTCTCCCTTGAACCTCAGCTCAGTGCCTTTGCAGGCCACCTCTGAACAGCTTGAGATGGCTTCTCAGACCGCTTCCACCCTCTGCACCTGGCTTCTCCCCAGTGTGGACACAGCCCCTTCCATTAACTACTCAAAGCACAGCAAAGATGGAGCTGTCACAGCTAACACACCTTGAGTGAAGGCCAGGCCAGCACGGAGATTATGATGCAGAAAAAATTTAACAGGGACTTCCAGCTGTGCTTTCCCCAGCAGGGTCCCCACTGGCTCCATCTGCCCTTGGTTCTCCCCTTGCTGCCATGTTTTAGAGGCCTGTCCCCTCCCTCCCAGACTGGGGCTGCCAATGACCCTGCCCTCCTGTCCCAGAACCCCGCCCCCAAGTGCTATGAGAGAGAACAGGGGTTCCTCCTCAGCCCCTGAGTCCCGCTGGTCTCCCCATTGTGACAATCTTCTGACTTATAAATCTGCCTTCAGCAAAGGCAGGCTTTGAGGCTTTTATTGCATGCGGCATCCTAGGTCCTGGGTATCTCCAACGTTCCATCCTCCAAGAGGGTTTCAAGTTTACCTTGTACAATGATTAAGTGTTTTATTATTTTTTTTCCAAAACAGAGTAGCAATCTGTCTTCAACGATGAGTCGAATTGGCCAGCTAGAGAGAGAGGGACACTGCCACCACTTTACATGGCGTCCACCACCTTTCCGGCTGGTAAGGCCTCCATAGCTAGGTGCTGAGCCTGACTCAGAGCAGTGTGTCACCCCACGTCTCCATGTGCTGGCCATCTCCTTGGCCTTGTCACATATCTG